AACAAAAAATGTTCACTCCACTTCTTATCACAGTTTTTTTTGTGTAACTTTGATCGACACGTCGGACGGCAAATACAACTCTATCGAAACGATAAGATGAATTTGTTTACAATTTTCCAAAAAAAAATAAAATTTCAACTTGTTATGGGCAGAGCTATTTTAGACAAAATCCAAATTTTTCTCAAAAGTAATTGCTGTAAATATCAAAATTAGTATATTTGACCTCATTAAACGGATGTCATCTCAAAATTTTTATAAGAAAATCTCGTAAGACGTATAACATAATGCATTTCCTCTTTTTCTATCATTTAATAAAGCCCACTTTTTATTTTATTGTATGGGAATTGTAATAAAAATTTTCAGAATAAAATTTAATAGGTGTATTTTATTTAAAAAACTGGACTTGTTTAGAATTTTGAGACTTGATTACAAAAGAATAACTACTCTCATGATCTCTAAAAAAATGATAACGTCACATATAAAAATTGGTCTAAGGTTATTTAGACGATACTTCCCTCGTCCCTGAAATACAATAAAGTTTCTAAATTAAAATGCAATTTTTTTATATAGTGTGTAGATCTCTATTTACTATTTTATTCTTATTATATTAAGTGTACAATTTAAATAGCATTTACTGTGCAAAATTTTAAGATGACGTTACCAAATTCTTGATGGGAATGGTGAAGTTTTCTCCGAATCCAAACGTTCTCTATCTAATAAAATCGCCAGAGGACAGACAGACGGAAACAGGAGACAGAGACCTATTTCTTCATAGCCTAATAGTCATGGAACGTCAGAAAATATGAAAATCGCCTTCCGCTAAAAAGCATATTAGACAAAACTAGGAAAGGACACATCATTTCGTTTTATGTTGCCGATACTGGGCATTATTATCGATAATTTATCCACCAATTTCTTCCGTAGTATTAATTAATGTGTCCTCCCCGAGGCAGTTAATAACATCTTCTTTCATCTTCACCATATGGGGAACTTGACCTTTTCCCATTTTCCAATTTTGGTTTAAAACTAACCCATGCCTAATCATTTGATTACAGGAGAATTATTTCTTTATCTGACAGTCATCGTATTTTATTTTGTTCACTAAGTATTTGCCTCTAAAACCAGAATTGAATATTTTGGTGTCTAACTAGTAAATAAGAAATAAAAAAACAATAATTTTTTTTTTGCTTTACCTGTTACAATTTCATAAATTAATAAAATGAAAAATTTCTTAAACTGCCTAAATATGTAGCTTTCTAATAGACATAATAAAATTCTTTAATACATATAATTAATTATTGCATTGTGTAGAACTTTGATTTTAACTCTACTTTTTTTGACTTTACCACTTTTGCGTTAAACTACCTAACATTGAAACTATAAAAAATTATAAGAAACTTCTTCTAAAAATGTGATATTTTTTGGCGTCATCATATTTGAATTAAGAATCGATAGCTTCAACGAACAAAATTTAAAGGTATTATTGATCGTTAACTTCGTTATCTTAATTGTTGATTTTATGTTATGAACGGTAGCATCGTTTATCTATATTAAGAACAAGATTATTTTTAACACATCTATGACGAATAAAATCAATAACAGGCTGTTACTCAATACAATCCTTTACCTGGTTGAAGGAACAGTTTAAGACCTTCTGGAAATAGTAATTAGGGTTAATCTAAAGAATCAGTTACGTATGTTACAAAAATAACGGTCTTAGTTAGGTCCATTGAGAGACACCATATTTTATGCAATACGGTGACGCAACTGTTACGTAGCAAAAAAAGAATAGAAATAAGGGTGTCGATTTTTCTACTTGTTCTACTCATATTATTATGCATACAACAAAATGCCTAAAAATTACATATTTTTAGTTTTTCTTTAATTCTAAAAGGTGCTAAGGAAGAAACTTCAAAAGAGTCAACTACATTGCAGCTTCCAAATTAACAAAATTAATTCTCTAAAAGTTTACACAATGTTTATCCAGTCATAGACCCCATCTCGTCGCTCTATATTTATTTATATCATTTATGCAGAACTTTGTCATTTTCGCAACACAGTGTTAATTTTTTTGACATGGGTAAAAAATGACAACTTGGATGTAACAGTAAAACACTAAATCACAGCTCAAGTATCAAGTAGGGATTTAAAATTGTAATAAGCTTATTGAAAACTTGTTTCTTGAAATGACATCACGAATTTGGTGGAGGGAATTAATTTAATAAATTAATTATAGGTATAACTTTTTTTAATTTTCGGGCTTAGCAGTTGTGAGTGATCTTTTCATGTAGACAGGTTTATTTTACTATAATCATTTACCTTCCATGACTGCGTGTCTCTATACATCAGTCAATATTATTAAATTATTATTCTTGGACTTGTTTCCACGAACGATCGTTATACCTCTTCATCAATATTTGGCGCAGATTGAAATAATAGTTTCTATCGTGGGTTTTCCGTGACTGCACTTAACAAAAGTTAGTACTACCGGGTCTACTATTGCACGATTTCTCTTGTATAGTAAACAATTCTAAGTAATTAGCATACATTTTAAATAAAGAAATACATTTATTTCCAATGCGTAGTCTATAAACCCAAATACCGAAAAAACTTCAAATTATAAAATTAAGATTATCAGTTTAATCCTTTCTAGAATACGTAAAAAGATGGTACTTGTTTTTGTTAAAAGAAAGTCTGTTGAGACCACTGCATTAGACTAATGTGTTTAGGGCTTTCTGTATAATATCGCAATCGCTTAGATATTTTATCTCATTAATGAATATTAGAAAAAGTAGTAGTCCCAAACTGGATCCTTCCGATATGCCAGAATGAGGAAAATGAGGAAAAATGTTTTAGGCATGAGAGGGCAACACTTAACACTTTTTCAGTAAGATAAGATTGCAGAGGTATTGAAAATCCATTAAACCAAAAAGAACAAAATTTTTGCGTGAATATCAATCAGTACCACAAAAAAACAAATTTATACAAAACCCTTTTTCTGGATGAAACATGGATATTTAGTATTATTTAGCAAATGTAGTAATATGTAACAAAAAGTAGTAAAACGGTTCAACACAAACTACAATTAAAAAAACAGGAGAAATATAGATATATTGTAGTTCACGTTGGCAATAAACACGGATTTACTGAAGGAGCGTCTCTAATTTTTAAGGCAAAAACAAAATCTGGCGATTATCATAATAACACGAACCGGGAAAATTTTTAAAAATGGTTTAAAGAGTAATTAATATCCAGTCTTCCTGAACCGTCCCTTATTATAATGGATAATGCTACTTACCGCAGTAGACTTATGGTGTGTATTTTAGTTTTGATAAATACACTACACTTAGGTACATTTCTACTTTATTTGTAGGAAAAAATTCCTCGAAAGAGTTAGACCAAAAAAATGGTGGCTTGGTTAAACACAAAGAAGATAGATTATCCTGAAAAAGCGTCGTAATCATTTAGATCACTATGCTCAAGAACATGGACATTATGTCCTAAGTCTTCCGGCATACCACTGTCATTTTAATGCAATTGAACTGGTATGGTCAGAAAGCAAACGAAAGTAAAGTAACCCAAGAGCTATAAGGTTATATCACCATCACAAAAGTAGTTGGCCACAAATAAATATCCCCTTTGTGTGGTTCGCACTAAGCTTACCGGTTGGCAATAAATCGTCTTCTAAACATTTCTTCTTTCTGCAGTGGACACGTAATATACCACCCTAAACCTGTTCTATTGTAAACAACTTAACTTCGACTCAATGGGATAATTTTATGATGGTCATATAATCTTATAGCTTTTGGACTACTTTACAATAAGTGTGGTGTGATGCTTAATACTAGAATAAATTCTTTTGTATAGAATAGGCTCAAAAATTTTACAAAGTTGTAGAACGTACTTAATGATATCTAATTAATTATCAATAAATGCTGGGTCATCCTTTTTTAAAACTAGTGTTGGACAGAGTTCTAAGTTGTTAATATATTCTATGTTTTTCTGAGATGTTTACCTCCTCTGGATCTACCTCTACAATCTTTATATTGTCTTCAAGAAATTATTACTATTACTATTCCTGACAATCTGACATCTGTTATAGGATTTTACAAACCTCAACGTCGTTCGTACTACTTAATATAAGTAACGACTAACTGTTATTAATATATTAATAATACTAAAATTTAATACATTATTAAGTATTAAATATAATCGGACAAAACAAATTGCAAGTGTTTATTATATTTTAGAATCAAATTTTAGTAATTGTAGGAAGTCCTGTAGGGTATTAATAAGCATTGTCTCAGCTTTTTTCAAACCAAAAATTCGTCAATCATTGTGTGGAGAAACTTGAACAAAAAGCCCGTAGCGGTGCTGTTTGAATCAGCTGGGACGCCCACCCATGCGTAGGTAAACCCCTGTTTCGACCGCAATCCTCAACAGCAGGATGCTGAATCGGACAAGCGCCGATAAATCCCTGTTTCCGCTATCATTGCGGTACCCGGATAGACCCACAGCAAGAATGGAAAACTACCTCAAGGAAAATATTGTCACTAGCGCTAATTATGCGTTCTAATAAACATGAAAAAAACGGCGTTGGTGTAACACTCTTGCAAAAAGTCCCGTGTACATAGTAGACTAAAGAATACACAGAGCCGGAACGAGCAAATTGAACAGCCACCAGCTGGTGATAAAAAAATGAAGTTAATGATTACTGCGAAAAAAGTGTATGCTTATCATCAGCAGCGGCTGTCCCGCGCGAAAATCGATGCGGGGAGAGCCGGCGCTAGTCGGCGCCTGCCGACGCATATGACGTCACGACGGTGACGCCGCAACAATGACGTCACCGTTATCGGCGCGGTGAGCCGGGGGCGCGCAACGGCAGCGCTAGCGGGATCGATAGGCGATGACATCACTGCAGTAATGACGTCAGTGGGAGCGCGATCAGCGGTTTTATAATGGGCCGATTGAGAGTGGCAGGGATATAGAGTGACGGCGGCCGCTCTCGAACACAGTCGCGTGCGTTTCAATCTCGCAGCAAGTCGTCGTCTCGCATCCGAGACTCGAGAAGTCGAGAAGTGCATCAGCAACATCGAGTGCACCGGTTTAGGCGAGCGCGCCGGCCGTTTCAGTGAGCTTTGTGAGCTTCCGTAGTGCTGTGATGCTAGACCTCGCTATGCTTTTCTGAAGAAACTATTTTTTCGCAGTGGATTCGCCTGACAAGCAGGAAGGCGCGCGCTCTTCAACCAACTCTCCGGAGTTGACGCTCCGGGACTCGCCAGGTGATTTTGAACGTTGGATGTTGATGCTCCTACGTAGTTGCTGATCACTTTTGTTGTCCTCCATCGTCCTGTGTTTCCGATGTTGTTGACTCCTTTTCGTTGTTTATGCATGTGGACTAGAGACTAGTTTAGAGGATTATCGCTGCTGCGATGCAACCGTTACGAGATGCGCTCAGGTCCTCCGGCTGTCAGGCATCACTTCAGGCTTCAGCAACACTTTAACGCGCCGCAACAGACGCACACTGACTCCAACAACAACTCGCCCGCTTATAACTTCCATCTACAGAACAAGTGTATGTACGATGCTGGATTTGCCAAAATTTTAACTAACGCTTTCTTATTCACTACTAACACACTATGCGGAATATGAAGACAAATTGTACTCTTTTTACGACCTCACCCGGAATCGTTGCTTTACTCGGGTATATTAAACAACTTCAACAACAACAACACAAGCCAAATGTAATTAACTCTCAATCAGAACGTTCCAGCACAAAATTTCGTTATTTCCGTGAGCTTTAACAATTTCAGCAGAAATATTTTTTTATTAATCAAGCGGAATACCCAAAGGTAATAAAAGTGGATTAACATTGGTGACCACATCGTTCACTGTGTTATTAGCTCCCGCGTGCACGTTTCATTTTAATTTTATCAAAACATACTACATATTCACCAAAGAAAAATAAAAATACTAGATATACCTACACTATAATTTAATAGTACTGGGTATACTTTGGTTTGGCGAATGAAACATCCGCACCCCATACGGCGTCTTTTCATGCCGGAAGTTTAATTAGTGTTAATGCGAATATTCAATATCAATAAGTAGCAGAGACTCGCTCCTTTGAGAAATAACTACACCATATGCATGAATTAAATGTATCGATAATTGTAAATACAAGGAGAAACCTGTTGTATGCACTGAATTTTGACCGTTGACTGATTCTAGAAATTTCGATAGCAGAATAATTTCAATCCTCTAGGTTAGCTTAGGCTTAATTTAAATGTTTTGACTACTGAACTTCCTTTTTGCAGTTTTAGAATACACAAATCAACAACTTTGATTATAAAAAATTTCTTGACAAGATCTGTCAAAGTTTCTCCAACTTACAAGCAACAGTCGATTTTATTATTACTTCTAAAGTGACAAAAGCAAATTGGAACATACCGATAACGAGCAGGATAACACTACAAACGTTGCTTTGATTGCAAATGAGTTTGTAATTTCCGAAGATGTTTAACCCCGAGAAAGAAAACAGTAATCCAGGTATACTTTAGCATGATTGGAATTTTTCGTTGTTTAACCTGGATAAGCGGTTCTCACCAAGTGTTTCCTGCAGTGGATACAATTTTGCGTGTTTCAGTTCTTAAATCTTCCGTTCTCAGATTTTAACAACTAGAAATAAGCCAAAGGAAAAATTCTATACCTTTTGTCTCAATCTTTTGGCCGGTCGCTAGTGTCGATTTATATAACTTTTTAAACAACTTGTAGAAAGATTTAATTTTTTTTTTTTTATAATACTGGGTGACTATTAATGATTAAAACAAATTCTTGTGTTGGTAATTCTGAATGATTGGCAGCACTGTTGACAGTTGTCAACTTTGACAGAAACGCGCCTTATTACAAACGTGATAAGAAGATGACTCGGTGCCCCGGAGATTTCATTTTGACAACCAGGTATGCCATCGTAAAATTTTAAATGTGTCGCCAACCTGACAAAAAATCACAGTCATTAATATTCACCCTGCATTAAAATTATTATTTAGAAATTTACAATTTCCTAAAAATGTTCTTTTTTGTTCTGCCGGCCATTGTCAAACCACCTTTTAAAATCATTTATATTTTAGTTAATTATAAAAGAACCCAGATTTTTTGCATGTTCGTACCTTACTGGATTTATGACCTACATAATATCCAGAGTCGTATATTGATCTGTCTTTCTCACTACGATCTTGAAAACCCTAAAGGATACGACCTGAACTAATTTAGGGAAAAGTTGAGTTTTAAAAAGTTAAGTGACGTTACTATTTTTACTTTGATGGTTTTGAAATTTTTAATCATGACATAATAATTATGACACTTCAGAAAATAATTTCGCAAAATTTATTGATTTACTAGATTTCAAGCTAGTCTACTTTGACTTATTTTTTGAAATAGTATAGTGAAATAGTGTAAGCAATTATTATTTTCATTTTATTGTAGTTGTAAACCTTATACTATTGTTATGTACTATTACCACAAATTACGGCAATGATATAACCTATAAAACTAGAAATATAAACAAGCCAAAACTTTAGTTACATAATTAGTTTACGAATTAAAATAAAATCCAGGCATCTAGAATATTTTTTATATTAACTATCATTTTAAACTTTCCAGGAACGCAAAAAATACAAAATTCTATCTTTTAAGTCCTCAACACTCAATTTTTGCCGAAATATACGTAAAAAGTAAATCATTCTCTATAAAACTGTTAGTTCTTAGATTTTAGATAGATTGCTCATAAACACTCAAACAAATGTTGAATCTCCAATTTTTAAAAACCACTTTCTGACGGATTCTCGGCCAAAGTACCGTTCTTTATACCGTTTCGTTTGATCGTATGTTTGTTTATTTTTATGAAATTTTTATATCCGATATTTTCTTTTTTACAACCAAACTTAAACAATTTTTATCAAAATGACAGCTTCTGGTTTCAGACTGAAATACCCAACGTTTTAATAGTTTAATGGCTTTTAAAAGTTTCTAGTCTCAAGCTTCATTTCCTGCGATATCGTTACAAACTTTCCGAAAGAGGAAAAAAAAGTGCTTTGACATTTACGACGTAATTCAGTAATACGTTTTAAACTAAAAAAATTCGGTTCAAATGTAATGATCGAACCACCAGGATGCTGCCTTTTACAACTAGATATTTTCTATAAAAATGTTTTATTAACCTTTGGAATTGATTTTTAGGTTGGCATTAGGTTTTCAACAAATTTCCAGCACTTGAAACAGATATACTTACGTCAAAAATCTCTAAATATGGCTAAGAATTAATTAAAACGAGGTTTATCCTGTATTGCTTAAAATCTTTTTTTATTTAAGAACTGCTACCGTTTTTTTAACAATAAATTATCTCTCATTAAATATTACACTAAACGGACATTTATGAATTCAGCGTCGGCGAATTTGTTGCAAACGAGGCTTATTTTTTCGACGATGTCGTTTAAAATAATGTCGTCAAACAAAACCTGTAATTAGTAACGATTTAAAAATTCACAGCCGACCTGAAACAAGCTAAATCAGTAGAAACGCATTAATAATGGACACTGGCAGTGACACAAAGTTGAGGTTTTCACTGGAAATTTTAAAAGTCATATATCGTTACCCATTTCGAAATGTTGGAATTCTCTGAAAATTTCGCATCAGTGTATTTTATTTTTTTCAACATTGTCATGACATAGTAGCAATATTAAATTAATTAAATTCATTAAATCTAGTTCAGTTAGTTTGCACTTGTTGTTTGCTCTTCCTATTCCACGGACAGAACAAAATTAAAATACTGATAATTAATTAAAAACGTAATAAATTTATTCCTAAATCAACTAACGCATTAATTTATATCCTACGAACAAAACTCGGAAAAAAGTGGAAACTTTCGCCGGAAAAAGTTATGAAGACTCGAATTAAGCAAGTGCTGTCAACATGTTGAAACAAATTGTTACAAAAAAAAGTTAACGCAACATATAAAAGTTAGTTTCATTCAATTTGTGGCCTATTGGAACTAACCGGATTATTATTCCGTCTCGCCGATGTCTGCGTACCCGGATCTTCCCCCTACACAACTTTGACCTATATTCTCACAGCTGTTTTTATTCACCGAGTTTCGTTTCAAAATCGAACTTTTATAACATTGAATGAAATATTCAAGTTCTCGGTTACACAACCCAGGTTTTGAAACGCTTTAACTCGAGTGGACTAATATCCAGCGATCGAAAATTCTTGCGAATACCTGTGATTCAGAAATTGGTTACTTAACTCTTTTTATGGAATCAATCAAAATGGTTCGCATAGTTTCGTTTTTTTTTTATAGAGCTTGATTTACGAAAATGAGGACGAAATGTGTAAGTTTATATTGTAGGTTATGTGTGTTTATAATACAGGTCCTTGTTTTTAACTCTTTAGACGATATAAAAAATGCAACTCGTTAGTTTGGCCTAAAATTAATTTAATTCACTCAAAACGTTACAAATTATGTAACTGTCAAATATTAGATTATTTTTTTCAGTGTCTATAATTATTATTAATGCTTCCACGCCAAATCAAGTATTTTTAGAAGATTCGACATTAATAAAAAATTCTTAAAAAACGAGCTACAGTTCACGTTTTCGTGATGTTCTGAATTCTTGAAAACTTTTTCTATAGTACGACTTTCACGATCTACGCAATGTGTAAATATAGTCCCGGTATTTTGTAAATAATAATAAATATTATATAATTAGGGTTATCCCGAAATAAGTTCTCTGGTGGTAAAAATACTCAACCACAGCTGGGACCGCAGTGCGGAAATCTCCGATGTTCCATTTTTATAAGGTTTTTCCTTTGATGGGGAATCCCTAAAATATCTCTTTATGTCTAGAGCACGCTACCTGTTAAGTGGGCGATTACTAAAATAAGTATTCCTTTTTAGCACTAGATCATACTCGTTCTTCTAACTCATATATATCATCGCTCCCATAATTTATGATTATATTGATACACATTAATCTAATTAGCAACTTTATATGGCCGCTAAAATTTATAAACTTGTCGGTAATTAAACTAAATTTGATTACCTTGTAAATTGTACCAGCTATTTGCAGTTATTATTGCAGGCGCAAGTCTTGTCCGAGTCTTAGAAGATTTATTTAGTTGAGTGGTTTAATGATAATCTAAAGTTAGAACAAGTTACTAAGTGGACAATGGCTATCTACGGTGCTTCCGAAGGAAAATTACCAGCAATTTATAGTTTTATAATTTCATTTTGATGGTTGAAATTAAACCATTACTTCTAGCAGATTTTTTAAAAAAAGAACGTCAAATTAAACCACTTCTTCGTCCCGTTTTTGTGTCGGTGTCAAGTTGAGCGTAATTACCCGCAGTCTTTTTATTTTACAATTAGCTATTACAATAAAACAATTAATATTATAAACAAAAAAACGTAATTGGTAAGTACTATGCAACATGTTGAAATTTCCACTTCTCGACTGTTTGGTAACAAAATACAAATAAACTAATTGACTCACATTCAGATGTCTTAACTTTTCAATT